CCACGTCTGCGGCACCGGCACCGGCACCGGCCCCGGCACCGGCCCGGCCGAGGCCCCCCACTCGCAGCGCCCCGGGTTCCGCAGCCCTTGCCTCCTCAGCCCCCCCGACGGCCCTGCTGCTGCTGCCGCAGCCACCAAAGTTTTTATTCGCATCTTCGTTATCTCCAAACTGATCAAGTGGCCAAAAACAAACAAGAAAAGTCTTTTTAATGTAAGGGTTGCTCACCTGATGCAGTAAAGATCAGTTCTCAGAGCAAAGGACTCCTACTTCCAGCAAAATCTGGTTCCCCGACTTACTCAGCCGGAAGAGCGAGCACCATTAGCTGCTTTACATAGACTTTTTTAAGTCTGTGTCAAAGGCATTTGATGTAGAGCATAAAGATGCACCTTGCGCGCTTCTGTCAACAGCCAGCCCCAGGCTGGGGCTCGGGTGCTACGTGTCCAACTCCCCAACAGAAGAAAAGTTAAGATTTTTCTTTTTACTCAACATTTATTACCTTTTTGCAAAATTTCAGCCCGTGGCCATTCGACAAATCTTTTTCAAAACGGTTTTAGATTTAAAAGGAAACCGTTTGAGTTGTGTTTTGATCCGATCGCCGCTCTGCGTTTATTTCTTGTAAGACAAAAAAAAATTACATCGAACCGGTTCGCCGACAAGAAGTCGGAGCCCTGGGGCAGAGAGGTGTTCTGGGCCGTGCTCCCGCTGCCAGGACCCTCTCCGGGCGCGGAGGGAGCTCCGGCAGGGACCGCCCGCCGCCTTCCCCGGGACTCCGCCGGCGGCTTCGGACGCGGCTCGGGGGCGGGAGGGTGACCGGGGCAAGGCCGGGTCCCTACAGCCCCCAGAGCCGCGACCGACTCCGGACAAATGATCGACGGGCAGAGCTCCTACCTCCGCTCAGCCACTCTCTAGCGCTGCCTCGGACCTTACCCGACGGGGAGGGAGAGGTGGGTGCTTGGCAGTATTCACTGTAAACCACTGTGCTATTCACTCGCTTAATTCCGGCGTGGCCTCGAGCACCGCAGGGAAGCACGGAGGGAGCCCGGGGCCGGGGCCGGACCCCTGGCCTCCCACCCCCGGCACCGCCGTCCGGCTCCCAGCGCCCTTCGGCGGGGTGGACGCGGCGCTCCGTGCCCGGGGGAAGCGCATCTGCCCCCGGCCGGAGCCGAGGCGAGAGCCCCCGCACCCACGGCCCTCCAAGCAGAGGGGAGGGGAGCGAAGCTCTCTTGTAAAGCTCCCAGCCGTCGGAACCCGCAAGATAAACATCATTAGAAATCATTGTAATTGGGATTGTGAAATCTGACCTCTGACCCTCCGGGCTACGTGTCACAACCGTGTCTGCTTTGATTCCTCGAAAGGCGGCACAAAGGAACAAGTTCCGTGACAGGAGGCAGCGGGATCTGCGCCCCGGCCGGAGGGGACCGACGGGGGGGACCACGCGTGGCCTTCCCCTCCTCCCCCGTGCCTCATTTGCATATGCAAATCAGCAGGCCGCCGGGGGCTGGTCGTCGGGCCAGGGCCGGGGGCCTGGAATGATCGTGCCCCTTTCAAGGGGTGCCTTGGATGGAGAAATCAGGGTCGGTCCTTCCGCCAGCGGAGGGAGGACGGGGGTGCTGGGGGGTGTCTGTTGGGTGTTCACTGATATTCCCATCCCACAAAGGCGCGGCTGCCTCCCGAGAGCCGGGGTGTGGGGGAACAGACCCCCGGGGCACGCAGGAAGGAGGGGCAGGGTAGCGCTTTGCCTCCAGGCTTTTCCGCCTGGGCTAGCGGGTGCTCTTCCTGGCACTTGGGCTCCCCAGTCCCACCCGTCCGCCCAGCCCTCAGCATTCCTCCCCGGCCGGGGCCCGGTGCGCGTCCCTCGCCTCCCCCCGCCGCTCCGCGCACACCTGGTCCCTTCCCTACGGGGAGGATGTTGCGCCTTCTGCTCCTATTTCTGAGCTCGGGCTGGTGCTGAGCCCCGGATGAAGGTCTTCCCCCCCATTCCCCGCCGGCCTGTTTGCCCTCGGCACCCACAGGGGACCGAGGTCACTCGTGGAGCCAGCGAGGACAGACCTGGACCTCACCGGCCTGCACCGATTCACCAATATGCCCCGCTCAGCTGCTCTCCATGAGAAATCCTAAAAGCGTAATTACGCTAAAAAGTCTGATTTGTTCAAATAATCCTCTTTAGGCTTCCTTTAATCTGCCCTATATTTCCCTCATCAGCTTTATTCCTGACTTGTCCAGCTCAACTGAGTCTGGTTGGACAACCCGCGGCTGAGGAAACTCTTCTTCATCTTCCTCTTCCTCTGGAGCCCCCAAGCCGCCAGGCAACCCCAGCACTCCGGAGCCGGCTCCCGGCTGCAGGTGGGCAGCAGGTCCCGGGGTCTGGCGGCGGGGGGGACAGCAGGAGGGGCCGGCAGCCCTGCTCGACCCACGCCGAGAGCCAACCTGAGCATCACCCGTGTCCTGCGGACAGGGGAAGCCAAGCGGGTCGGTGCCCTCAACAGGTCCGGGCCAGATCCGCCCCGGGAATGCTCTTGGGGAGGATCGTTACTCGGTTTTTAAGGAGAAATGCCATTTTTCGCCTGTACAGCTCCAGGGGAGTGCGAGACGGCGTGTATGGCAAAGGCAGAGGATTGAACTGAGACTGGAGCGGGCGGGAGGAGGGGAGCAATCTCCCTGTGTCCCCCCGACAGCGGCAAGTGAAGGGGGGCCTCGGGGGGAGCCTGAATGCGGCCCCCGAACTCTGCAGCTGCCCCGCCGGTCCGGGCTCTCGCCGACCACTTTCCCTGCGAGCGGTGGAACTCGCACTTTGAAGGACGGCTTTATTTTCCTCAGTGCTGAAGATTTGAGTTCACGTTCCAATCCCATCGGGAAAAAAAAAAAAAAAAAAAAAGAGAGAGAGAGAGAGAGAAAGAGAGAGAGAAAGAAATACACAACTTTAGATGGCGCTGTACAACATTTATTTAAGCCCTCCGAGTATTCCCGGCTCCTCGGCCTGCAGAGAGAAGAGCCCTTGGCGGGCAGAGGCGGGCTGGGCTGGGCGGGGATGGGGTGGATACGCTGGGGTAGGTTGGAGTGGGATGAGGTGTAGGAAGGGTCCTGCCCCACCGGCAACGGGCATGTAGGGCAAGGGGCTCTGTCCCCAGCCTGCGCCTCCATCCCCGGACGGTGATAGCGAACCGCAGCTCTAAGCAGGGAAAGTTAAAAAGCACGAAAATGGCAGAAGCCATCATCCCCACTGCTGCCCTTCTCAAATAGATGGAAAACCCCTAATGCCTCCGACGGGACGAGGAGAGGGGGGAGCTGCAGGCTACGCCGACCAAGAGTGATGCTGCTTGCCCCCTCCCGCCCCCCCCAGTCCCACTGACCTGGGCATGGCCTCGGCATCGCCCGATCCTCCGGGGAGATGCAGGAGAAAGGGTCCATCACCCCGGCTCCAGCTCTGCTTGCTTGTCCTCTTCGCCCTGCCGGCCGCGGGCCTAGGGCAGGGATAGAGAGGAGCAGAAAGAGGAGAAGGAAAGCCGACAGACGGCCTCGTGGAGGGGGACGGGCAGCTCTCCACCCGCCCCGGTGCCCGGTTCCATCAGGGTCAGGGCGGAGGGGAATCCCGTCGCCTGCCCTCGGCTCGGCTCGGCCCCACGCAAGGCCCGCCTGGGCTCGGGCCCGGCGGTCCTCGACGGCTCGAGGACAAGGCCGTGGGCACGGCCCGGTCCCGGCCCGTCCGTGTCCTCCGGCCGGCGGCCAAGAGAGCCGAGCCGGGACTGGGCACGGCCGGCTTTTAACCGGGGCGGGTGGGAAAGCGGAGCGGGGCCGCAGCCCCCTGGAGCTCTGCCGTGCCGCCGGCCCTCCGCCACCCCGCGCGTCCCACGGCAAACGCGAGCCCGAGCCCTGCAAGGGGGAGCGGAGGGCAGGCACCGGCACCGGGAGCGCTCCCGGAGCGGTGGCGCAGCGCCCGGCGCCGAGTGGCGATCGCTCCGGCCCGAGCCTCGGGAGAGGTCCTCGCTGCAAACAGCGTGGGAGCAGGTCCTCTCGGAGAGAGGCAAGGAGCTGTCAGACAAATATCCTTCCAACACATCCCGGAGCCCTAAGTATCCAGACAATTTCAGGCAAATTTTCAGCGGGAACTTGTATCACCATTATGATGAGGTGGTTTTAATTTGGTTAAAAAGGGAGATGCGGGAGATGAAGCACGACCGCAATTGCCAAAGTGAATTAATAATTTTTAAAGGGTAGAAAAATTAAAAATAATTTTTAAAATATCGAAGGTTTAAGGGTTTTGAACAAGGGATGAGTAGTTCAAAAATTGCTGCATCTATCGAAAGCAAAACCTAAATATGCCACCAAAATGGCACTATGTACACAGCGTATGGTGTATGTATATATACATTTATTTATTATATTTTTATGTATATATATATATGCAAACATCCATACACTAAAATAAAGAATTACAGCCAGCCTGGATCCTGAACACAGTCTACACTTTATTTCAGACTACAGATTTCTGAACATAATAAAATCTTTGGCTTGTAGCGGCGGGTTCAGTCTCGCAGTCTGTGGATCAGAATTTTTTTTCCTCGGGAAAAAAAAAGAGAGAGAGACAGAAATTCACACACACACACAAAAAAATAAAATAAGATTAAACGACAGATGAGAAAAGTCCGACCTTTACTGTAAAACAGGAGCAACGGACATGGGGGGGGGGAAAGAAAAAAAAGGAAAGCAAACAAAACGAACAAACGAACAAAAGAAAGGAGAAACAGAGAGAAGGGAAGAGAGAAACTGTCCAGCAAATAGAGATCGCTACACATATTTCTTACCTGAAATTAAATATATACAAGGTCATATGCTGTTTGGCTATATAGAGATAATTTTTCTTAAGTGTTCATATTTTTTTTTTCTTAATCGGAGTCCTTATACTATGGATAGACAATAGATCTGCTTTTAAATCGCACCTGTCCGCCTCCCGGCCGGCGGGCCGGCGCCGCGGCGCAGGGCTGGGCTGGGGCCGCCCGCCTCACTCGCTCTCCTCTTTGTCCTGCACCGTGGTGGTGGAGTGGTTGTAGAGTCCCTGGGCCATGAGGTGCAGCGCCAGCCCGTTCTTAATGCCCGTCGCCTTCTTGATTTTGGCCCGTTTGTTCTGGAACCAGATCTTGATCTGGGACTCGTTGAGGCTGAGCTCCTGGGCCAGGCTCTGCCGCCGCTGCTCCGTGATGTACCGGTTCGCCTGGAACTCCGCCTTCAGCCGCTGCAGCTGCTCGGCCGTGAACGCCGTCCGCGGCCGCTTGTCCTCCTTCTCCGTCTTCTTCTTCTTCAGTTTCCTGGTGCGGGGGCCTGCGGGCAGGGCACACACACGCCGCTGGGCAGGGCCGCGCCGCCGACCGACAGACCGACCGACCGCCGCCCCCGCCCCGCCGGCCGAGGAAAAATGGCCGACGGGTGAATTTGTGCTGGTTCCGTGTGTTCCCCCCCAGCCCCCCAACCCCGACACCGCCGCCCCGGCACGGCGGAGGGAAGGATGGGGAAGGAACGGGGAGGCCGGGGCCGAGCGCGCCCGCGCATCACCCGCTGCCCCGGCCCCGCCGAGCCGGCCCCGCGGGCGAGGGGAGCGGAGCCCCGCTCGCTCCCCGTCCCGGCACACGTCGGGGCACCGCTCCGCCCGCCCTGCAGGGCCGGGCCGCTCTCCTGCACGGCCCGGGACCGGGGCCTGCCGGCCGGGCAGCGACTCCGCCGGGCAGCGCGGGGACCGAAGGTTCCCGCTGCCAGGCACCGGGGAGCCGCCGCCAGCAGCAGCCTGGCAGAAGGCTGCCCTGGTCTCCTTTCGGGGGACAACGACCCTCTCCGCAAAGCCAGCCCAGTCCTGAGGGGCCCTTCTCCGCCTCCACTCCGGAGCCCCGCCGACACCGCCCGGGTCGCCTGGGCTCTCCGGCGGCCGATCCCTGCCGGGGACCTACGGCCCCGCTTGCAGCTCCCTCTGCGAAGGCCAGCCAAAAGCAGAGCCAAATCCAGGCCGCAAAGGGGCCAGCCTAAGCGCAACACAGCAACACAGCTCGCCGGGGAAGCCACCGGGTCCCGGGGCGCATCCTGAGGGCAGCGCCTGGACAAGGAGGGGTACTCCCGGTCCTCTGCCCGCCGGCCTGGCCCGGCCACGGGGAAGAGGAGCGGGGAGGGAACCGTGAAGAATGGGATCTACGAAAATTCCCCGACAGCTGCCGGGCTCGGCGGGCGGTCCCAGGCCCGCAGCCCCCCGCCAGCAGCAGCCGGAGCCGAAGCCGGCGAGGCCTCCCTGCCGCCGAGTAGGCCGAAAGCTCCTCTCCCGGCGCAGCTTTTCCCCGGAACGGGGGGATTCCCCCCGGCTCGGCAGCGGCTGTCGGTGGGGAGAGGGACGAGGCCCGGTGGGGAGAGGGACGGGGCCCAGCGGGATTCTCCCGAGCTGGACCGGAGGGGGGTGGAGGGCGCGGGGAGTGAATTGCTGAGTCCCGGCACCTTGCAGCGGGGTGCCGGCGCCTCCGACCGCCGCAGCCCGCTCGTCCCCGGAGCCGAGAGAAGCAATCGGGGCCGGCGGGCAGCTACGAGCACAACAAAGAGAGCGGCCGAGCCCAGCCAGCCTCCCCTCGCCCTTCTCCCCTCCGGGTCGCAGCGACCAGGGAGCGTCGGGGAGGAGGACATGCAGCAATGATCCTTTGCCCGAAGAAAGGGGAGGAAAGGAAATGAAGGCGCAAGTGCAGAACGCCGGGCGCTCGGTGGCCCTGGGAATCGGCAACACAACACCCGCGGCCGGGCCGGCCGGGAGCGAGGCCGTGCCGTCTGACAGCTCTATCACCCCATCAATCAGCCCAGTCAATCAAAGAGGCTTTTCTGAGTTTGAAGTCGCTGGACGTGTCAATAACGGGGGATGGAGACGGCTCGGCCGCGCTGACGGCCGGCTCGGAGCACCAGGCCGGGCAGTGCGGAGCGGGGCCGGGGCGAGGCAGCTCCGCCTTCCCCGCGCTCTGGAGCGGCCCCGGGCCGGCACAGGGGAGCCCAACCCCGGCCCCGCGCCGCGCTGGCCGATCCCTGGCTGCTGGCTGGAGGTGTCATGGGGGAACCCCATCTCCTCATCCTCGGCTTCTTAAAAAAAAAACAAACATGGCAATGAAAACCAAAAACTAACGGTGATAAATAAAGGGGTGCCTGAGGGCACCTGGGGAATGTAAAGTAGAAGGGGCGGCAAAACAGGGCCGGGAGGGCCGAGGCGGCGGCTCCCACGGGGACGACCTCGGGCAGAGGCTTATCCCCACCCCGGAGCTGGGCCCCGACCGCAGCACGGAGCACCGGCTCCGGCGGCGATGCGCGGCCTAAGGGCCTGCCTGGCTCGCTGCAGAGGCCCGGCTAAACAGCCCCTCCGCCACCTTCGATAAAGCCCTTTTTCCTTCGCCTCCAAGAAAACACTACCTCCTCCCCCCGCACCGCCAGCAGCCCCTCAACATGTGCCTCGGGTCTTTGCCCCATCGCTCCTCCAGCAGCAGCGAGGAAAAAAAAAATAAAATAAAGTAAGGGGAGAAGAAGCCTCAGAAGAAGGGAGCGGCCGACCCCGCTGCCTTTTTCTCGCAACGCTCTCACCCCGCGCGGCCGCGCCGCGGAACACCCGGGGCTGCGGCAGGCGGGGCGGGCGGGGGCGCGGGAAGGGGTCGCTCCCGCCGGCTCTCCGCATCGAACCGCTGCCGAATCGGGGCCCGGCGTCACATTCAAATTTGGGAGACTCGGAGGAGGAAGGAGGGGTGGTGGCGGTGGGGGGGGACGCGTTTCCTCTCGCCCCGGGTGACCCAGGCCGCCCTCCCCCCCACGCGAGGTCCTCAACAAGCCGGGAGCCAAAGCCAAGGGGGAAGAGGGAAAGGGGGGGGGGGGGGGGGGGGGGCGACCTTGTCACGATTTAACAGCTCCCAGATGCGCCGCGGTTCCTTACCCGAGGACGGTCTGTCTGAATACCTAGTGCAGTAGACCCAGGCAGGCCACACCAGCGGCTGTTGCGAGTCAGGCTTTATAACAGGTCCTCCATTATTAGAGCCCATGAGGAGGATGGCGGGGCTGCCGTGCTCCCCGTACTTCGCCGGGTGAGTCTCGCCCCCGTCGGCGGGGGCCTTGGCCGCCCCCGACGCCGCCGCCGCCGCTGCTGCCGCGGCGGGACCGGCTTTGGCGGCGGCGGCGGGCGGCGGCGGCGGCGCGGAGCCGTCGGGACGGCAGTTCGAGTCCGGGCACAGGAGGGCGGGCGGGTTGGGCGGCCGGGCCAGCAGCGGGTTGACGTTTTCTCTACCTGAGCTCTGCCCCCGATCTCCGTCCCGCTCCCGGCTGCCTCCTCCTCCGCCACCGGCCGGCGCGGGCGGCTCCTTCTTGCAGCCGAAGTCCGGCCTCAGGATGTTGTCGATGAAAAAGTTGGTGGTGCGGTGGGGCGGCGGCGGCGGGGGCGGCGGCGGTGGCGGCGGGTGGCGGCGGCGGGGCAGGGGCAGGGGGCAGGGCGCGGCGGGGGAGGCGGGCGCGGGGCTGGGGGACACGGGCACGCTCTCGCCATCGCTGCCGCTGCCGCTGCTCGCCGGGCCGGGCGCCGCGTCTCGGTGGCCGTGCCCCTCCGGCGGCTCTTCCATGCTCAGTCCCCGCCACGGAGATCGCTGCCTCTTTTCCCCCCCACCCACCCACTTTACGCCCACCCCACTTTGACGGTGGGTGGCGGGGTGGAAAAGGGGGAGGAAAAATTTAGAAAAAAAAAAAAAAGAAAAAGAAAAAAAAAAGAAAAATATTAAAATCCACTTGTTGGGCTGGAGCTGAGATTTTTTTTCCTCTCCCTCTCACGGATGGATCCAAAACCTGGGAGATACTGGAGGGCTTCTCTCCCCCTTCTCCCGATCAGCTTATATTTCCACCACCAAAAGAAAAAAAAAAAAAAAAAAAAAAGACCACACAAAAAAAAAAAAAACCCAAAAAGGTGTGCGGCTGCACCACGGCCCCCCCAAAAAACCCGCCCCCCGAAAACCCGTCACGATCTGCCCATCTCCCTGCTGCCGCCGCCGCGGCGGCTCCGCGCTGCCCCGCTGTCACGCTCCGCTCTGCCCACGCCGCGGGCTGCCGGAGCCCGTCCCCGCCAGCCCGGTGCTGCGCCGCCCGCGCCCGCTTAGGGTTCCTTTTTTAATTCTTTTTTTTTTTTCCCTTCTCCTTTTTTTTTTTTTTTAAGAAAAAAAAAAAAAAAAAAAGCCAAATCTCTGACAGCGCTGGTCCGTGCACCAAACTCTCCCTAAAAAATCCCTCAGCCACACTTTTTTCACTCGCACCGGAAGCACGTGAGGTGGCCCCGCACGTGGGGGCGGCCAATGGCGCGGCGCCGCCGCCGCTGACACCCCGCGCCGCGCCCAATGGGCGCCCGCCGGGCCGCCGCCATAAATACCGCGTGGGGACCGGACGGGGCGGACGGCACCGGGCGGGACGGGGCGGGCGGCGGCGGCAGCGGCAGCGCCGCGACGGGGCGGGGGCAGCGCGCCGCGCCCACGCGCGGGAACCGGGACCCCCCCCTCCTCCCCGGCCCCCTGCGAGCCCCGTAAACAACAACTTCCAGCCACGCCGTGTGCTCCACGGGTGGCGGGGATTCGGTATCGGCCACTTTGCTGTTGTCCCAGCGATAATAAACACCCCCTCTTCCAAATCTGTGCGCTTTTCCCCTCTGTTATTTTGTAGGTCTCTGGTTTTGTTTATTTTTTTTGTTTGTTTGTTTGTTTTATTTTGGTTTGGGTTTTTTTGCTTTTTATTCTCTCGCGGCGGCGCTGGGCAGCGCGGGGAGATGGCGAGCCGGGTGGAGGCTCCCTGGAATCGAACCTTTTTTGGTTTGGAGGAATAAAAATTACAGTAATAATAATAACAACAATAAATAGCAATAAAGGCAGGAGGCACTGCCGGGACGAGCTGGTCTTACGGCCGAAGCCTCTCTCTGGTTTCTTCCTTTACTGGGTTTGGGGTTTTTTTTTCGGAATACGAAGCAGATCAGCTCCGGCT